TGCTCATATGACTGAGTAAAACTAGAATAATTCACCATCACTAATAATCAAATAATAAACTGGCTTATTCTGCTTTTTCATGGTTTTTAACAGTAAGTCATCTGTTTATTTGCCTTAAGGAGATATCATTTTGAAAAGTAGTTATTGTTTGCTGTCTACAGAGAATACTGATCTGTTATATTTTGAATATTCTGACTGTTTTCAAAGTAGGGAAAATGGATTTTAGGGTTATACAGTGTGCCGTTAGGTTCCATTAGAACAGTGTTTTATTTTCTACTTAGCTTTTTCTCTTCTCACATGCTTCAGGTATATGAAGCAATCGACACCAGAGATGGGGAATCCTGTGCAGAGCTGGTGTCTTTCAAGCACCCCCATGTTGCCAACCCACGGCTTCAGGTAGGTGAGACGACAGGGGCTACAGCATAGCCAGCGTCCTACGACTAGTGTAGAGTTTGCACTCGTCTGTTGAGGATTGTGTTCGGCAGCTTGCAGGCTGCACCTCGGGCCATGTAAACCAGTTTCTGGAGTAGAAGCAGGCTTTTTTTTTTTTTTTTTTTTTTTTTTTTTTTAATTTAAAATTCCCTAGGTTGTTCTGATGTTCAGAACACATTGAACACCATTGCTGTAAATAGAAATTAGTGCCAGAGACTTGATGAGATTCAGGTTCAACTTGCTGGGCTGATACACCGTAGCTGTTGCTCTGTGCTTCCTAATGCACTTCTGTCTGACAGTTCCATTCCCTGGTGGCCATTGTCCGAGTCAGTTATTTCATTAAGGACTGTAGAATGGTGATTTTCCTGATGTTTTCCTTTTCCCCTCCCACATTTACATATACATTGGATCAGATTAAGAGTGGACTGATTCCTCTTTTTAAGAATTCCGTATGCTAAGTAATCCATTGTAGTGCTCATATTATCTAAAATCTGGCCATTGAGAAGAAAGGGTGAGTTAGAAATAAATGTCAGCTAACCTGGCCCAGGACAGAGAGAGGGTGGTTCTATCACCAGAAAGCCGAGAAGGAGTGATTCCTATTGTGGCATCTTTTCTAGCATATCAGACTTCATTTATGTGAGGTGTTACATGCCTTACTTATTAAGCACATAGTACCTGCTTTCTAAATATTTCTTGACTAACGGACAGGTAATATTAAGATATGTATGAAATATTAAGATATGTACTTAATTGCCTAGACTATTTCCTAGCCTGTGGTAGACAAAACATTGTATTCATCTGTGCTGTCTCCATGGCTAAAGCTTGATAAATATTTGTTGGAAGTAGTGAGCCCTTTATTTAGAAGTGCTAAAGTATAAAATGTTACTGTTTAACTGTAAAGTGTAAATTCTTTTGAAACAGATTTGTCTAAATCTCTACACATTGTATTCTTTTTGTGCCTGTTAATTACAGTTTTGCCATTTCTGTTCTTATCATTTAATGTATTAATAGTTGGCTTCTCCAGAAGAGAAGTGTCAACAAGTTTTGGAACCCCCTTACGATGAAATGTTTGCAGCTCATTTAAGGTAAGGAAGTAAAACCAGCAGATCTTGAAATTGCTGAATTAATTAGGATTGTATTTAACATCATCTAATGCTTGAAGCAGTGAATAATTACTCTGAAAAAGTAGAAAAGTGTGTTTGTAATATACTTTGGTAAAAGCCTGTGAAAATTTTCTGAAGTTTAAAGAACTAAAATTATAATAAACATTTTCTCATTTCAAGTATCATATGTTTTCAAAAGTTAAAATTATATTGTGCCCTGGCTGGGTGGTTCAGTTAGTTGGAGCGTCATCTAGTACACCAAAAGGTTGTGGGTTCGGTCCCCTGTCAGGGCACATAGCTAGATTGTGGGTTCAATCCCTGTTTGAATTGCACATGGGATACAACCAATTGATGTTTCTCTCTTCTTTCTTTCTCTCTCTCTCTCCCTCTTTCCCATCCCCTCTCCCTCTTTCCCCCTTTCCCTTTCTTGCTCTAACTATATCCTCAGGATTTACAAAATTATATTGTGATCATGTATCTTATATGTCTATTGCGTGATACTTTTAAAAAATCACTTGATATTCATCACTGACTGTGCACTGGTCTCTCATTATTAGGGTGCAGAGCTTACTGTTGACTTGTGTTTTTCAGGGAAATACTCACATGGCTGGTTTTAAACCTCTTTGCCTTATTGGGGAAGAAACTGCAGCTCTGCAAAGCAAATGAAATATTGCTTTTTATTTACACCTAATTTCTTCTATGTTGATTGCTAAACCATCAATCGAAAGCTTTATGTCCTCGAAGCATGTGGTGTTTAATTGCCTTTCTGCCTGCAATGCTTCCAGTATTTCAGAACAGGCTGGGGTTGTGGGGGCAAGTTGGGGTAGCCATGTGAGATCTTTGGAAAAGTTGGGGTGCTACTGTGTTCTTTGTAATGTAAGGTACCCTGCAATTTCCTCTTTCTGTGCAGTGTGCCGTGAGATTACAGATTTGTCGATGAACTAATACTGACCTACCCAGCGGGGTGGGGTGTCTAGTCAGAAGGTCATCACTTATTTAAGTGCCACAGTGTATTGTCAGTGCATGTTACTAATAAAACCTACCAGCAGCTGGGTTCTCCTTCTGGGACTTGAAAGAGTAGTCTCAAAACCTAATGTGTGATTTCATAATTTACCAACTCATTTCACTTCAAATAGTTATTTGTGTGTTTTTCCAACTTTCATAGCCTGCCAAGCAGGAGATCCAGCTTCCACTCCAGGGTCAGTTGAGAACTAGGATGTTTGTGGTGAAGGATGGGTGGGCTGCCTAGTCCACTTGGAGGTTTTTACCGCCGCCCCGCCCTCAGTCTGCAGTGTCTCCTTTCCAGGTGCACCTACGCGGTGGGGAACCATGACTTCATCGAGGCGTATAAGTGCCAGACTGTCATCGTCCAATATCCTTTGTCACTTGTGTTAACTGTTCAGTTTATAACAGGTACAATGGATTGTTTGGAGTTTAAGATGTTGAGATCTTGGGCTAATTTTATTTATCCCTGTAGTTAGGGAGGAATTAAAACCTTTTGGAAGAGAAACTCATTTCCCTCTTTCTCTTGGGTACTTAAATTTAGCATATATCTTACAGCTATCATTCTATTAACTTTACATGGTAAGGATTTGGTTATAATTAAGGATTTTATTTAATTCTGTTGTAAAAAAATAATATCTTGTTGCCTCTAAGGCATTACATGTAGTTACAGGGACTAGTTAAGTCCTTGGTGGAATATGAAACTCCAAAACCCAGGTGTAGATGGACAAGAGCGGACTCAACACACATTGTCACTTAATTGTGGTCAGTAAAGACCTTAATCCAGCCTATTTCTGATGTAAATCATTTAAGTGATAGCTGACAGCTAAGGCCCTAGTCAGTGAGTGTTCTAGTATTTGTATGTATCTCTGCACTCCGTTTGCTTATTTTTTAAACCCTGTTATTTAAGTATACATGGACGAGAGTTGGTTGGTAACTAGTAAGTCTCCTTTGAATTTAGGCATTCCATAATCGATTAATTAAACCTCACACTGCAGACTCCACCTCCTATTACATATCACACGTGACCATCTGGGCTTAGAGAAACCAAATAAAGTGTTTGAGATCGTCAACTTTAAAAAATCTTGTAACAGTAGTCTTTTTCTTACTTTGGAGAAAGTATGTATGAAATAAACATATTTAGTATTCTTGTACCATATGATACTCAGATAATTTTAAGTGGATTTATACATTTTTTTCCTCAAGAACTTACAGCTGTGATTTCACAGAACTTTCTCAGTGATGAGCTATCCCCCTTGCAGTTGGAATTCTTACTTTGTATCCTCACTGTGACATCATTTGAATTTCACACATTGCACCTTCCTTAACGTAGCACGTCATTCCTGCGGGCATTTCAGGCCCACAAAGAAGAAAACTGGTACGTATGAATGGTGGCAAGTGGGAAAATTAGCCATGTTTTTTAGCAGAAGCTTTAAAATTTTTTTCTAGATAAAACTTTTCTATGTGGACACTTAATATTACATGTTGATGTAATACAATCAACATGGATAATGGAATTTTAATAGTCAGTGTAAACTTAAGTGGCAGCTCAGTCAGATTATTTGCATTGTGTTTATTAACATGAAGTGGTGTTTTTATTTTAGCCCTTCTGTGCCCCAAAATATCAATGAAATCCTTTTTTCCCTTCAGTTGACAATTTTGAATTTACTTTCGGTTTTAAACTCAGACAAAAGGAGTAGGCCAACTGCAGTTCCTTTGGGTGATGTGATGCATAATAGTTGGGTCATTTTAAATTGGTCACCAAACTTGTTATTAATTTTATGATTTACTAACAAACTAGGTAAATAATGAAATTTTGTTTACATTGGAAATAAAACAGAAAAAAAGCCAACCTTTTTTAAGTGAAAGCTTATCTTACCCATGAAAGGAAGCCCAATACTGCTAGCTAGATTTTTAAATAATTGTTTTATGGCATTTTGTCTCTTGCATACTCTGGTTGCTCTTAGGAAATCTTACTAAACCACACCCTTTCTAATGGAGCTGTTTGGGTAATCGTGGGGAAGGAGGGTGTTCTGGGAAGAACGTGAGGAGGTGCTGCCTCTGACTGAGGACCTAGCTAGACCAGGATCTAGGCCTCTGAGGAGGGTCCCAGCTCGTATGTATAGAGCACTTCAGGGTCTGGCCTCTTTGTCCATCAGGAAGCCCAAGGGCTGCAAGCTATCCTGATGAAAGATGGGGAAGGTAACAGTAGCTGTTGAATTCTTGGAAGGGTGCTGACTCCCATTTCGGACATTTGCCTTGTGTGTTGGCATCATTCCCACCACTGGAAACGGACTCTCTGACCTCATAGCTTTTTCAAACACACCTGCTTTTTTGCCCCTATAGGGCTCTGCCTGTTATGTATGCAGTAGCACTTGACCTTCGAGTATTTGCCAATAATGTAAGTTCATTTTTTATCATTATTGTTTTATAACCTATTGGTATCTATTGCTTATTTTCATGTCATTCTTTACAGATGTTTTGAGGTGTGAGTGGGGGTTGGGATATGTCGAGTGTAGAGAGCAAAAGAACAGGGAAGGTCTTAAACTAATTGTTCTGTTTGGATCGATGAGAACAGAGTTAAGCAAACATTGGTTTTCACACTGTAGATATAGAGGGAGTTGTTTCTGTATATGGTTTACCATTTATGGCATGCAGTACTTTTTTCAAAGGGGATGGAGAAATAATAGATGAGCAATTCTGCGTTCTCTTCTACTCTTAAGATATGCCCCGTCCCCTGTTTTAAAGAATTGCAACTTAATGTAGATTGAGGCAATAGCTAGGGATTTCTCTGGTGTGAGGAAGTAAGATCCTGGATTTTATAGAGTTGACTTCTCCTCGGTGGGATCTACATAAGACAACTTTGGAGCAATGTTTCTCAGCTTTTTGGTCCTAATACCACCTTTACAGTTTTAAAAATTATTAATGACTTCTGAGTCTGGACAAGGTAGAGTAGGCACATTTTTCCTATTCCTCCTGCTGGGCATTTTAAAGCCAACATGGCTCTGAGACGTGGAGAGAAGTAGGGACAGGGACTTGCAAAACAGCAGGAGTAGTGAGTTTCCCGCATTTCTTTTTTGCCTCCTGTCTGGCCTAGCTCTGGTTTCAGAAAAGCTTGAAACTCATGAACACCAACAGGCAGAGATGAAGAAGCCCCTGGGAGAGCAGGAAGGGGCGAGGCAGCCCATCAAAACAGACCTCTTTGACAATTTCTGCTGCACTTCACGCAAAATATGTAGGTCTCCACCCCTGTCAGCAAGGCCCATGGGGAGCCAGACCCCTGTCTCGCCCAGTGCCAAAGAGGGGGAGGCTCGCTTACCCCTTAGCATGGTATCAGCAGAGGCCTGCTGAAAGAAGATAAATAAGGTCCACAGTCTTATATGGTAGTAATACCCTAAATGTCCAGGATATAATTGAAAATCACTTAACATACCAAGAATCAGGAAAATCTTGGCCTTTTGAGCTGTTGAATGAGGAGAGACAATCAACAGACCCCAACACTGAGGTGACACAGTGTTGGAGTTCCCCAGTGAGGATTCTGTCCCAGCCATTAGAGTGGTTATGACCACACTTGAAACACATGGAACTGTGGGTAGTCTCAGCAGAGCAGTAGGAGATGTAAGGAAGGGCCAGATGGAAATCCCAGAACTGAAATTATAGTCACTTAAATAAAGATTACTGAGGTCCCCCCAAAACTTTTGTTTATATGTGTTAAATTTATTTAGATTTACTGTATTAGAAATTTTAACGGGGAAAAATTTTAATATTTATTAACTTAAAGTAGTAATAAGGCTTTTACATGGTAACACAACATTTAAATTAAAAATGACTATTTCCAGAACGAACAGTACTGACAGTGGCATTCTTTTACAAGTTAAACTTTTTTAAGTCTGGTTTAACAGAAGCCACCCAGATTCTCATTTCTGCTTCTGTGTTTAATATGTTGTTCCGGTTGAATATATGCAGACAATCTGGCCTACACAGATGTAAATGGGAAAGGGAGAAGTATTTTAGTAGCCTTTTCAGATAGTTGATATAGATCAGATTATAGATAACCTTTGAGCTATACCCAAACTCCAAATGCTAGTTTTTAAAGATTAATTTTAATGGGGCCTCTGAAACTTAGCAGTGAACTTTTTCTACTGTTACGTCAAAATCCACTGGCACCCAGAATGGATGTTTTTGCCCTTGCCTGGTTTTGTAACATATATTGAACATTTGGAAATTTTTAGTTCACTGAGTTATGCAGATGTTCCCAATGCTGATACAGTTCATTAGGTAAAAACAAACAAAAAAAACCCCCAAATTCTATATTTGTTAGTATCTACAGTGACCTCGTCAGAAAAGTGCTGATGTAATAGAAATCTGCCAGGTTCAAGGTGCTCCATACAGGTTTTCCAAAATTCTTGTTTTTTTCTTGAAAGCGCAAATATTGTCATTGGCAACAAACACTGCCAGCCGTTTGCCTGGCCTGGGCTGGGCGTCCCTCCGCGCTCGGGCGCGTGCCTGCGTTGCCTGGCCTGGCGGCGGGCGTTTGTGCCGCTGGCGGCCGAGTCCTCCTCCGCAGCACGGCCTCTGCTTCAGCCTGTGCTCACGGGCTTCGTGTGTGCTTCCTCTCTCGTCACGAGGAGTTTAAACATTGCTGTATTCAAGGACGAGGACGATGAAATTAACATTTGCGGCATCATTAAGGGCATTTTAAAGTGAAGTCAGCTTTATTGGGCGATTGATTAATCGATGGACAGTACATGCGTCATGTGAAGGAAACGATGACTGCTCAGGGTGGTGCCCCCCGGGCAGGCCCTGGTGGTTCCACCGACTATTGTGTCTGCACCGTTGGTGCCAACGGTGCAGATGTCAATGACGTATAAAGAAATAACGGCTTAGTGTTCTTATGGTGAAAATAGTGCCAGTCTGCAGGCCATGTGCAGGTATCTTGAAGCCTCTCAGGAGTTCATAGACCGTAGTCTGAGAACCTGTGAAAGGGAGAATATGAGTGGGAGAAAACCGGTTCTCTTTTACTGAAGACTATCCTAAAAACAAGGGAAGGCTCAGACTTGGCGATGACATTGATGTCTGTGGAAAATGTGTTTCAAGGACGAGTTGTGTGTACAAGAAGGTAAGGTCAGTGACTAAGGGAACAAAACCAGGGTTACATGCAATGTAGGCTTAAAACACTGGTGATTGACTTACTAGCTTGAATCAGTTGAAGAGAGGTTTGATTTGTGGAAGAGTTGAACTAAGGTATAATTTCTCAATTTTTAAAAATGTCATAGAATAGAATAGATGATTTCACCAGAACCTTTTGGGACTTCGACTGTTAGCTGTAGCCATTTTATTTTCTTCTAGCTGTTCTGATTTTCTTTTTTAATTAAGGAATGGAGCAGAAAAAGAAAGTAAATGTTTTTATATTCTATCAGGCAGATCAGCAGTTGGTTAAGAAAGGAAAAGGCAAAGTTGGGGACATGCTGGAAAAAGCAGCTGAGTTGTTGATGAGCTGTTTCCGCGTCTGTGCCAGTGACACGTGAGTAAGGTTTTGGAGGCCGAGCTGTTCCCAGTCCGCTCTCATCACACATTGTCCCTTCCCTGACCTTGTCTGTTGTTGACATTTGTTTTACTTCTGCACGTGTTGTAATCACACCATCATTTTATTTTTTGCATTAAACAGTCAGTTGTTTCGGAAGAAAATAAGAAAACAAAAAAATAGGCTTTTATGCTTATGTACATATTTACCATTTGAGCTCTTTAGTCCTTCCTGTAGATCTGAGTTCCTATCTGGTACCATTTCCCTTCACTCTGAGAACTTGGTTTAGCATTTTGCTTTTAGTGTAGGTCTGCTGACAATGATTATTCTAAACTTTCATTTTTCTGGAATTATTTTGTCTTCATTTTTGAAGGATCTTTTTGCTAGGTGAATTCAGGATTGGACTTTTTTTTTTTCTTTTAGCACTTTAAATGTCATTCTATCAGCTTTCCTATGTTTTTGATGAAAAGTCAGTTTTCACTCTTATTGTTGTCTCTTGGTAAGTACTATATTTTTCAGACTATAAGACACCCCCCCCCCAATTTGGGAGGAAAACGGGGGTGCATCTTATAATCTGAATGTAGCTTACCTGGCTCATTGTAGGGGGTGAGGGGTGGCCGTGGAGCAGGGTCACAGGAAGCAGGAGCCTCCTATTTTTTTCCTATTCTAAAAACTGGGTGCGTCTTATAGTCTGCAAAATACGGTAATGATTCTCTTTCCTCTGCCTGTTCTTTCTTTTCACTTTTAGCTTTCAGGAACTTGACCCCCATGTGCCCATGTGCTTCTCTGTCTCTCCTGTTTATTGTTCACTGGGCTTCTTGGATCTGTAATTGATGTTGCTTATCAGATTCTTCTAATTTAATTTTTTTGTGTTCTTCAACTATTTCTGGCTCCATTATTTCCCTTCTCTTCTGGGACTCCAATTACATACATGTTAGGCCACATGATGATATTCCACAGGGCACTGATGCTCTCTGCTTATTTATTTTTCCATCTTTTTCCCTGCCTCTATTTCATTTTGGGTAATTTATGTTGACCTTGTCTCAAGTTGACTGCTCTTATTGGTCACTACTTATTTTTTGATTCTAGACTTTCCATCTGATTCAACTTACAGAGTTCCCATTTTACTCTTGAAACTCCAGCTCTTCACCCATTATAAAATGTCTATTGGACTGAGAGTTTTAGGATATCATAAAGCAAAGAAAGAAAAAGTAAAGCTTTCAATATGTAAATAAACAAGCAAGATCTCTCGTGTTTCATCATGAAAATTTTCAAATGTTCAGTACAGTTGGAAGAATTTTATGGTGAACACCCATATACTCAGCACTTCTATCACATTTTACTGTACCTGCTTTATCATCTGTTCATGCGCCTTTCCCTCTATCCATCTAGAAGTTTATCTTTTTTCTGATGCACTTCAGTGTTAATTGCATACATCAGTGCAATTTCCCCTAAACAATGGGTAAACTTGCCCCTAAGTACTTGTTTCTCTTTTGTATTTTGAGACAGAATTTACATCCAATGAACCGCACAAATTGTAACTGTATATTGACTGAGTTTTGACAAGTACATATACCTATATAACCCAAACCCCTATTGTAAGGCAGGACATTCGTACCAGCCCAGAAAGTTCCGTCCTGCCCTCTTCTCAGGCAGTCCCTCAGCACAGTTCTGTGTTTCCTCCCGTAGGTTAGTTCTGCCTGTTTGGTAACTTCGTATAAATTGACCCACTCCACTCCGTGTGTGCTCCACGTCCCGCTCTTTCCGAGATTCACGGGCATCGTTGTGTATTTTAGTATTTCATTTTGTTGTGATGATAAGAGAAAATACCTTTTCATTTTTTAACAATGTTTTATAACAATTAGCTGTTACATAATATTGCTGCAAACTAAGCAGTTTCAGCTGCTGCAGCAGAGAGAGTGTGTTGCCAAATATTTAACTGGGAGTAGAGTTCCTGGCTTGGACTCTTCAATTTTACCTATTAGGTAAAATACCTTCTTATATAATGTTACTTTTTTTCATTAATATGACTTAAGCTTTGAGATTTTATCTCAAGATATTTATTTGTTTAGGCAGTTTATTTTGTGATTTATAAGTAAAATTCTTATTTTCTATGTAACTATAAAAATTATGTTCCCATAGCCGTGCTGGTATAGAGGATTCTAAGAAGTGGGGGATGCTGTTTCTGGTGAATCAGTTATTCAAGATTTACTTTAAGGTATGCTTCTGTTTGAATACTGTGTAATATGTCTTTATGAGTTTTCTTTTTCCCTGTCTTCCCAGTTAACATTTCTATTAATTATCAGCTAGCCTCCTGGCACTGCTTGGGAAATGGTCATCACCCAGCCATATTTATAACCCTAAGAGCTAATGTGTGTTGAGTGCCTACTAAGTGCAAGAAGCCATTGTAAATAGTGTCATGTTGTTTAAACCTCAGCCCTACGAGGTGCATGCTGGGAGCTCCAGGGGAAACTGAGATGCCTGCGTGTTAAGCAGCGTGCCCATTGTGTTGAACTGGGCTCTAAGTGAGGAGTTTCACTCCAGAGCCTTTGCCTGCTATGGTAATAATTAGCTACAGAACAGATGGGCGGGTGGATGGGTGGAGTAATCATTCTTCGCTACATGAAGTTGGCCAGGTGAAAAGCAGCTATGTCAAAGCAGCTGCTGGGACCTGGCCCCTCTGGGTGGGCCTTCCATCTGGGGGAACATCTGCCCTGGAAGCAGCTCTGTCTGAAGCGCTTCTTAGGGCCTTTTCTAAAGTGGATGTGATCTATGCCATACAGACTGTGGTCTCGATGTTAGTATTCAGTAGTCAGTTGTGATGGTATCTTGGGTTTTGTAATTCACAGTGGAGGGCGATGTGCTTAGTGAAGTGAAAGTTTTTGTCCTGCCTGTTTTTTTAAAATAGTGTTTTAAGTACGTTGTCATTTGTCATAGATCAACAAACTCCATTTGTGTAAACCTCTCATCAGAGCCATTGACAGCTCGAACCTGAAAGACGATTATAGCACAGCACAGAGGGTGACGTACAGGTACTATGTTGGGCGCAAGGCTATGTTCGATAGTGACTTTAAGCAAGGTATGTTGTCAGTCTTCTTCCCCCTTATTTTAAAAACATTGCATTCTGAACAGATCTGTGGTGTAGCTTCAGAGAATACAGTGATTGCATTGTGTTATTACTTAAGGTGGAATACAGGTGTGAACCAAGTCCATGCTATATTTTTGTTGTTTATTTTTGACACTGAAGTTGATTAAATACAAGGAAAGTTGTACTGAAGTTTCTTCATTAAATTGGGTCTCTAAATACATGGAGAATCTCAGTCATTCTGGACATCTTTGTTTGTGAGGTAATTAAGCAGCAGCGTTCTTGGCATTGAACGTAAGTCATAGTCTTCGCCTGTCGCGCCCTGCTGATGGCAGTGGCACGGGGTGTGGAGACGGGGCCGCGCTGCGCCTGGCTGCCTCCCTGCTGCGTGGAAATACGGCGGGGAGTCCCCAGGCGAGCAGCGGACTGTGTCCTTGCACTGCTGTCATTTTTGATATTTGTGTCCTTGGGTGACAGTGTCTTTACCACAGCGGAGTGGCACTTTCATGAAATTCCATCACTATGTTGTTTACATCCTCAACTTCCTGAAGGACATGACGCCAGTATTTTTCTTTTTAAACTTTTGATTAGCTGGCATGAGGGGGTGCTTTATGACCTCTTTTATTGTACTCAGACCAGGCTTTTTTAAGATTTTATTTACTTTTTAGAGAAAAGAGAAGGGAGGGAAATAGAGAGGGAGAGAAACATTGATCAGCTGCCTCTCGCACGCCCTCAACAGGGGACCAGGCCCACGACCCAGGTATGTGCCCTGACCGGGAATTGAACCGGTGATGTTTTGTTTGCCAGATGGTGCTCAGCCCACTGAGCCATGCCAATCAGGGCAGACCAAACTCATTAAACTCACTTCTTCAGTAGCTATTTGTACACGAAGCAGTACAAGATACAAAAATTACTTTTCTAGCCCTGGCTGGTGTAGCTCAGTGGATTGAGTGCGGACCTGCGAACCAGAGTATTGCAGTTCGATTCCCACTCAGAGCACATGCCTGGGTTGCAGGCCAGTTCCCAGCAGGGGACACATGAGAGGCAACCATTCCTTGATATTTCTCTCCCTCTCTCCTTCCCTTCCCCTCTAAAGATAAATAAATAAAATCTTTGAAAAAAAAGTACTTTTTTGTCCATTTCTTATAGTCATGGATTCTCTGAGAACAAAAATAACAGCATTTTCATAGTCATCACTCTAGTTTTTTACTCTATAAGCACATACAGACCAACTTCAAATTTTCTTTCACAAAAAACTTTCATAAATCTAGGGCTTTTGAAGATGGTTATTCCTCATCACTGTTTTTTCCCCTTAAAATATGAAGCATAAGAATAGAAGCTTTTAAAGTTTATTCTGTTGAGGTTTGTTAAGGCATTGATATGTTTCTCCTCTGAAGGTTCATTGAATAGTATTTTTGAGTACCTAACACAGCAAGGAGTGGTTTATTAGTATTAATGGTAGGTATTTATAGTTCTGAAAACTTCAGAACGTTTGGGTCAGGGTCAGTGGGAGAACAAGTAGCAGGGAGACGGCTTCAGGAACCACGCGCGGTGTGCGGGCGGAGCGGCGCGGAGCCGCGTGGGGGGGGGGGGTCTGACTGGGGCGGTGTCTCCACAGCCGAGGAGTACCTGTCCTTCGCCTTTGAGCACTGCCACCGTGCAAGTCAGAAGAACAAAAGGATGATTCTGATTTATTTACTGCCAGTGAAAATGCTGTTGGTGAGTAATTGTTATTTAGCTCTCACAGGTCCTGTTGCTTTGAACAAGTTTATAGACTTCTTAAAATACAACAGATGGCTTATAGTTGAAGACACTCTCAGCTGCATATGAGCATACCCCACAATAGAGGAAGAATAGCTTTATGTGTAGCTTGAACCGTGTGTCTGTATGATTGACACTTTCAGATCCTTCTAGAAAGGCTTCTGTTGTGTTTCCTTTGTGTTTAAAGTATCTTCAAAAATGTATCATAATGCCCTGGCTGGTGTAGCTCAGTGAATTGAGCTTGGGCCTGCAAACCAAAAAAACTCGGTTCCATTCCCAGTCAGGGTACATGCCTGGGTTGCAGGCCAGTTCCCAGCAGGGGACACATGAGAGGCAGCCATACATTGATGTTTCTCTCCCTCTCTCCTTCCCTTCCCCTCTAAAGATAAATAAATAATAAAAGTTTTTTTTAAAGTATCATAATGTAGGACAAAGAAAATAAATTCATATTATTTCTGTTCCCCCCTCAAAGTCTACATTAATAGAGATGGACTAGTGGAGAAAAGTGCAATTTTAGCTTTTCTGTGGTTGTCTTAGTTGGTCACCAAAAGTTATTTTTGATACTTAAAAAGCCATGACAAAAAACTAGTATGTTAATTGACTAAAACATCCAAAGTGATCAATAGAGCTTTCTTTCCTTCCATTTATAACTTAAAAAAAATTATCAAAGTGATACACACATTTGGGTAAAACTTGCAGTTCAGGATAGCTTGTAATGGAAAAGCAACAATGGCTGCACGCCCTTCCCTGCTTCTGGCTCTGCTTCCCAGTATAATTTTGTCCAGCTGATGCTTCTAGAAGTTGTTTCTATATTTCTGAATCTTAGAAAGAAATACTAGGATTTCTTCAGTTATCCCCCTCCTCCTGTGATATAAAGGATAAGAAACTTGAGAAGGTCAAGGTCATATGTAATTAAATGACAAAACTATTCTATCAGAAATCAGGTTTTCTGATTTCTAGACAAGCTTTTATTTTTTTCCTAGCATACTATGGTGTTTTTTAATCCTTGTTCAGCTACTTAGGAAGAAATTCTAAGAAACATGGGGTTGCATATTTTTAAAACTTAATTCCTTGATAAGAATGTTATTAAAGGTAATTCTGTTAAAAATGAAAGTGCTCTTATTCTGGAAAATTAACTGTTTGTCTTAGGGTCATATGCCAACCATTGAGCTTTTGAAAAAGTATCATCTCATGCAATTTGCCGAAGTAACCAAAGCTGTAAGGTAGAGTATTTGTCCTTTTCCATTTGGGATCTTTGAAAACGTAAAATTACTGAAAATTTCACACATGTTGTAGGAGCGCTGATTGCTTTTGATGCGCCCTTGCCCTGAGGTTCTGCTCTGTGACTGTGCTGGCGCTTCTTTCCCCACCTGCAGCGAAGGCAATCTCCTCCTGCTGAACGAGGCCCTGACGAAGCACGAGACCTTTTTCATTCGCTGTGGCATCTTCCTTATCCTTGAGAAGCTAAAGATCATTACCTACAGGAACCTTTTTAAAAAAGTGTGAGCAAAATATTTCTTTTAATAAGTTTAAACTCTCAGCATGACTCATGCAGTGGAGTTACAAGAGCAGGTGCTGTGTCCTCTGGGGTGGGGTGTCAGTCTGTGTGGACGAGGTCCCATTGCTCTTCCTTTAATTGTGTGGGATAAACTCAAACTTCCCTGGCCCACCCACTGCCTTACAGGCCTCGGTGCCGTGAGTGCTGAGCAGAGGCTCATTTGTGGGGGGACTTACTCAGGTGGTGAGTGATAATGGAACTCTGTAATAAATATTTTAAAACGCCGGGCCTACGAATAAAATATTTGACATTTCGTCAGAGCGTGTGGGACTAATTGTTCCTTTCCTTATTCATGATCAACCCGGCCTCCCCCTGCCACTCCTGTCTGTCAGAAAGCTGAGTTCTTCTGCAGTTGTGTTTTTCCATGTAGCACTGGAAGTTGACTCTTCCCCAAGGTTCTGTCCCAACAGGGTCTCAGTTACTTAAACTTCAAACAAAGGCAGACTTTTTATAGCTGTGGGTAGATTTCAAAGATATTAAAATGTGAAAATATCTGCTTCTTAGATTCAATGAAATATCTAGTATGTATAAAATATTATATTTGTATTAGTGGCTTTTTAAAATTGAGAAGTCAAAACTATGTTTAATAGCTCTTGTTTTAGAGTGTCTTGAATAGGTGGAAGTTCTTCTCATTCTGTTTGAACAGTAGTTTATTAAAAGGTATGTTTTCTGCTGACTCAATCAGTGTACCTTTTCTCAGCCTTTGAAGTATTTGCATCCAGTTGGTGACTAGTGTGGGCCTTTGTTTGCCTCTTGCAGGTACTTGTTACTCAAAACACACCAGTTGTCTCTGGATGCTTTTCTAGTTGCCTTGAAATTCATGCAAGTGGAAGACGTGGACATCGATGAAGTTCAGTGTATTTTGGCCAACCTGATATACATGGTGCGTGAGCCCCTTGGTTCAGGTTAGGACTTGGCCTAGAATGTGAAGTTCTGATGTAGTGTCATTAAAATTGTCATCAGGTCCTTTGCTTTTCTGAAGGTATTTTCTGATAGAACTGATTTTATCCCAGGAAATACCATGATACTCAAAGAGTTGTATAGGGGGTGTGGGTGGGTTGATAAAATATATATTTATATATTTTTCACATATGTATTTATTCATTGTCCTCCCAATGACCTGAATTGCAGTGTGATTGGGTCAGAATGCTTATGCCACAGAACTAAGTATTTAACTCACTCGGCTTCAGTGATGTGACTCAGAAACATAAGCCAACCCTCTGTTTTTCTCCTACAGGGTCACATTAAAGGCTATATATCACACCAGCATCAGAAGCTAGTGGTTAGCAAGCAAAACCCATTTCCTCCGCTGTCTACAGTGTGTTGAATGTATGAACAGTTCTGAGAAGAAGTGTGTTCCTCTAGTTTTTATCATACTGATGAACTCAGTACTTGGCCGTGATGTTATTTTCTACAGCAGGGATTTCTCTGGGGCTCTTTTCCCAGGGATGTTGAGTCTGAGTTTGCCGGCATACACAGATGCCTTGAAGTTCCCGCGTCACTCAAGTAACGTCCACCTCGTGCAGACTTGGAACTCCTTTTCAGACATAGCAGACACCTCCTTCGGCTCCGGAGTTGTTGCTGAAACCTCTGTGAAGGAGGCTGCGTTTCCAAGGCAGCTACAGTTTACTTCTCCTAAGAGTTATTCATAAATGCGTCTTTGTAACTTTTTATATTATTTGTTCTATAAAAAAGCCTTTCTGAATTTATACAAGTGATATGTTTTTTATTATATCTTCCTGGAAACCAAATTCTGCTAAGACTTTAAAATTCATTTTTGTTCATGCATTGTCTTTACCATTAGTCTGCATTGATTAGCATATTTATTTTTTATTGTATTTTTTCATTACCATTTAATTCCCTTATACCCCTCTCCCCTTGCAATCACCGCATCATTGACCATGTCCATGAGTCCTTTTTCCTTTTTGCTTAATTCCTCCACCCCCTAACCTCCTCCCCACCCAGCATAATTTATTTTTGCCAAAGTCCTTTCAGAGAAATGGGCCAGAGCACCTGGTGATTGGGAAAAAAAGTTTTATTCTGGGATTAAAATACAGTAATAGAAAAGAAAGAGATACGTACTCTGTTTAAGACCTATAAGGCTTAAACATCTGAATTGTGTTTAATTCCCTATACTTCACTCAAAAGAGTACTTAACTCACATTTTTAACCCCTCAAAAAAAAAAATCCCCTCCACTTTTCAACAACTCTGTGTGACAGGGCCCCAGCAGACAACCGTGACCCTTGACCCTAGCGCGTGTGTGCCTGGAGTCAGAGCCGCCCCCTCTCCACCGTCTGCTGGTCTGCAGAGCAGTCGGCCCATAGAAGCTCCTTTATTTCACTCGAGGAAACGGGGGGGCTGGAAATTTTAGGCATGTAGTTGAGCAGTTTTGATACTTCCTTAAGAGATTAATTTAAAAGTGAATATCATTTCTATTCTCACTTTTCATTTTGGCTCTCACCCTTTTTTTTTTTTTTAGTTTTTTTAAATATAGTTTATTGATTATGCTATTACAGTTGTCCCATTTCCCCCCTTCCCTCCACTTTGCACACCCCCTCCCACCCACATTCCCCCGCTTTAGTTCATGTCCATGTGTCATACATGTAAGTTCTTTAGCTTCTACATTTCCCATACTATTCTTAACCTCCCCCTGTGTATTTTTTGCCAACCATCTATGCTACTTATTCTCTGTACCTTTCACTTTTCTTTTTCAAACTTGGACCCCCCATGTGGAGTTCTGATCTGCAGGGAAGCACAGTTTGGGGCTGTGTTCTGTCTTTCACTTGTGTTGAAGTGGCAGTTTCCATGATGACCATAGAAAATCACTGTGATTCAACACTTCTAATTCTTAACTCAGCCCTGTTTGGTAGATGCTGTTACTCCATTTAGAACCCAGGGGAGAGGCACGGAGGTGTTAAATAACTGAGAGTCAGCCAGCTGGTTCAGAAGCAGAACTGAGGGCCTGAGCACCGCCCTTCCCCAGCAGGTCCTGGGAACCTGTCCGGGAGGTTTCCCTCCTTGCAAGTGCCCGTGTGAGCACACAGCCCTGTTATAAGGCCCCTGTCTTCTTTTAACCTCTCTCGTGCTTCCTGGTTCTTTCTCTAAAACTGTATAACATCCCCCTCAATGTTATTTTCTTCTCCATGCCAACTCTTCCAGCACCAAGCAACGCTTTCACTTATATAAGCAGTTGGCAAACCCAGCCAGCTGTGAGGCCATTCTTTGTCTCTACCTAGCGATTCTTAGAAGCTTGCGTCCCAAAGACATACACTTACTAAGCATATGTTTGTTGTTAGGCTGAGCTACGTTCATTGATTCGATGGTATCGGGAATTATTAGACTTAGAAAAGGAGAGGGTTTTAAGAGACTGGGCTGTTACGATTGACAGATAGGTTTTTGTTATTTAATGTATCTCCCGTTCTCCTAAGGTGTGTGTTTGGATAAAAAGTCCCAAGGAAAGAACTTTCCACCGTACTCATAATGATTCCATAAGCCAGTGATTTTTCAGCTCGTTTCATCTCATGGCACTCAAACTAATTACCAAAATTCTGCAGCACACCACAAAATATATTTTTTTGCCAATCTGACAAAAAACGATTTTGATTCATTCACACAAGATGGCTGCTGTTTTGTTGCTGATGACATTTTTTTATTTAACAGTCTAAGGGGAAAGAGGTCAGTGCCCCTGACCAAACAGCCAGGTACTGCACGCTTTAAAAATCCCTGTGGGGCACCGGCTGAAAGTCAAGTCGTAAGCAGTAACCAGTGGTCTGTAGACACAGTCGTGCTGAGGCAGTCACACCGTTTTGCTGTGAGATTTCAACTCCATGGGCAATCCCACCACATACTGTGCTTTCTGATTAGCGGGGTGCAGTTACTTCATGACTTGTCTGAACCAGAGTGAATATCTTGAAACCTTGGTGAGGAGAAACTCCCGTGCATCCTCTTCTGTGGGTGCTGAGCTCAGAATCCCTGTCAGAAACCAGGTGCCCTTGTGCTCTCGGACGACCACGCTGCCCTCCACCCACTGCACCCCTCCAGCCGCTGCTCCTCTCTCGCAGTATGTCCTCGTCGTGACTGTCACGTTGAGGGCTGCGCCACACTCTTCGCTGTCCATGTAGGTGACTGGCAGCTGCATCAGAGCGTCGCCCAGCTTGGAGCCGTTGAGCGTCCAGCCAACGAGGAGGCCGCGTGTCCTGGGGATGAGGTTGCCCTCTGCGAAGTCACTCTCGGGCATACAGATGGGGAGCCCCAAGTCTGGGCACTGGACGGGCAGCTCCAGCTCCAACAGTGAGAGGTCATTGTCCCCTGTCTCTTCATCGTACCTCATGTGCACATGGATGTGCTTCACCTTTATCGTCAGGGGGTCCTTGCCTGTCCTGTGAAAATCTGAAATAATGGACAATCACTGGTTTCTGAAGCCTGATTTTCCAGACTGCAATAAGAGGAGACTGGTCCCTCCGCCACGTGACAAGGCAGAGGCTGGGCACAACAAACTGCCGTGGCTTCCTGCGGTGACCCCCTTCCTCCACCTGTGCTTTGAGAGGGAAATCACAGCATAAAGTATTTCAACTAATTCCTCATATTCCTCTTTTGAAAAAATCAAAATGAGTTATTTTGGTGAAATGGTCAAAAAAGTACAGGGGAATTATGAGGAACTTCCTCAAGCTTATCAAAACTTGGCCGTTTAGATGTAGTTTTTCAGGCTGACATTTTGTTGACTGAAAAATAGTAAAAAATGAGGAGTAAAATATATTAGGGCTCTTCAGAATCATTAAAGAGCGCTTTCTCAGATTATCATGGGAACTACAGCACAGAAATTACTCCCATGTTTTACGGGCGAGAAGCGAGGGACAGACAAGGTAGGTGCTGAGCCTCACATCACAGCCACGGTCTTGGGTGACAGGGGAACCTGAACCCCGGCCTTCTGACTTTGAGTCAGTCATCTGTCTTCACCACGGCCACTCCATTCCGCGTCAAGTTAAGTTACATTTTACTGGCGGAGGTCTCCTCCGACGGAATATTAGCATTTGCCTGCGCATTCTCCCCAGACGCGTCACCAGATGTTTTACAGGTGCCTTCTCATTTTAGAAGTATCTGTATCATTGAAGCTCAATTCAGTTGTGTTGCATTCAAAACAAAATTCTAGTTTTAAAATTTTCATTTTGTGCCAGAGAGTGTTTTTTTCCAGTGCGATCTTACAAAAACGAGTGCTGAGATACTCACATGTTTTTACGCTGATATTTCTGTATGACAGTGAACACTGGGCTGTTGTCAGCACAAAATTATCCTGTATTATAACGCCACCACAGAAGTCTCTGCCTTTGGAGTCCGTTAGTTTTACCTAAAAGACCAAAGCAGACAATGAACAACCAGAAACAGTTGGCAGGGTTGGGGCAGCGGAGTCTGCGGTTAAGACACAGGCTCCAAAGACAGCTGTGGGGCGGGCGTGGCAGCTGCAGGTGCCCGAGGCTGTGACCGCAAAGATGGGCCCTGCACCTAAGCTGCCACTAACCAAGCACTTCCAGCCAATAAAGCCAACAAAGAAGCTCAAATGGAATTATAAAAAAGTATGTAAGGAACCCAGTAGAAGGCAGAAAAATGAAAAATGGAAAAAGATGCATGGGAAAAATAGAAAACCAATAGCAAAATTATGAATTTGTACCTATATAAATAAGTATAAAATGATCTAAGTACTCCGATCAAAAGGCAAAGGGTTTTTCATATTGGATAAAAGTGAAAGCCAACTATATACTGCCTATAAAATTACTTTAAATATAATTTACAAGTAAAAGATGGGGGAAATTACATGTTAATGCTAATCGGTAGCGTTAACACCAGACAAGGGAGGTTTCAGAGCAAAGAAAATTATCAGGGATATAAAACAGGTAAAATGTGAGATTATTTTGAGGATTAAATGGAATAAAACATGTACGCTTATAGCACAGGTGCCGGCTCAAGAAATGTTAATTATAGTTTTTATAGCTTAGTAAAAATGAAAAATGCTGGGCAAAGTGAGTTTTTCAAATGTAATAGCCTCATTTCTGGGACTCTTAAGTGCTTATTAACAATAGTTGCCATTTACTGGCCACCTACATAAGTCAGGTACATTTTCCTTGTCCCTCACGGCAACTCTTGTATTATTGTCTTTATTTTATAGGTGGATGAAACCAAGTATGAGGGAAGATGGCATTTTCCGTGGTAGTCTGCTAGACTTGTAATAAAATGCAGGGGAACACAGTGCCAATTCTTATCAAGAATGTAAGAAACAAGTTGTAAAGATAACTTTCAACTTTATTATATCCTAGGGCAATTAACTCAGTTAAATAACTATCGTGCCAGAGTAAAAAATCTCATAGTACTTAACTTGCACAAATCAGTGTGTCACTGAATGTGTTTGATTTGTACGGAGGGAATGCTAATCTCCCAGGTAAATGGCTCCTGCTCCCACTGGATGGGCTAACACTGCCTCCATGGATGGAAATGGCACCTGAGGTTCCCTTGATGGCACTGGGAGACTGAAGATGCGTGTTGGCGGTAGGACTAGACCACCAGTGTCGTTTATGAAGGTTGGATTGCACATGGTCATTCATCACCCGCCCCCCCACACTGCCCCCACCATTCTGAGGTTTGCCCGAGTGCGCTGACAGGCAGATGACGATAATAATGTGAGTATGAATAATGGGTCTTAGAAAACTTGAGGAGAAAAGGCAACAGAAGATAAAGTTCACCAGCTGATAACTAGACCATTCCGGTTTTTCCCCTTTCTGTCATTTCATCTCCTCTCAGTTGCCTTTTAAATCTGGATAATTAGAGTAGTCGCTGAGCTCTTCAGTTTTCTGTCCTGGCCTCCACGTGGCAGCCAAGTGACCCCGCTGGCTACACTGGCTTGTAGGCGTCAGGCTGAAGTAGAAATGTGAGATATGACGCACATGAGGCTTATTACTCACAGATGCTCTAAGGACGCTTCTAAAGCCAGGCTGTCCAACATGGTAGTCACATGCGGTTACTGAGCATTTGAGATGTGACTGGTCCAAATTAGAATGTTCTCCAAGTGTGAAATATACCCCAGATGTCGAAGATTTAGTAGTGGAGAAAAGATGTAAGTATCTCAATTTTTAATATTCACTACATGCTGAAATAGTAGTATTCAGACTTATTGGGGTAATTAAGTGTTATCCAAAACCATGTCATCTGTTTTACTTTCATTAGTACAACTAGGAAATTTCAGTTACATGTGTGGCTTATGTTATATTTTGATTGACAGGGCTGTTCTAAAGGTATTTCAGGCAGAAGGAGATGACCTGCATCAGAGGCAAGGAAAATGGAAGCCATAATAATAAAAATAATACCTATTTCATGGAGTTACTAAAAAAGAAAAGAATAAAGTACTGGTTAAAATAGCAGATGAGCCTGGTGCTTGAAATAATTTTGGGGAAGGTGAAAAATACTAACTTTATATGTTAAGTTAAAAGTGAATGTTTAAATGTCAAGAGTGACCATTAAATAGAAAAATAATAGAATGTTTAGCTTCCAAACCAGTCAAGGGAAGAAACTGGAAAATAACGAAAATGAATGCCAAAGAAGAGAATTTCTGCACACAGTGGAGCTGGCGTTTCAGCGAGGTGGTCGGGGAGTGGAGCCTGGCTCCTTAACTCCAGCCACCTGCCTTTCCTCACGGTCTCTTGCTGGAACCCACGTCAACTCATCCGCCCAAGTGCAAGTTCAGGATGCCTATGTTCCAAGAAATGACCCGGGGAACAGTTTTTGAACTCCGTAAGAAAGGCCCAGGGTGCAAAGGCTGAAGACAGCTGAAGTTGTGCCTTCAGCATTAGAAAGTGCTCTGAAGTAGATGCTGAGATCAGTAAATAGTTCACCTAAACCAGGGTGCCTCTTTCACTGTCATTATGTTTCTGTTTGGTGGGCAAAGAATGCAGAAGTGACAAGCAGGATGAAATCTGTAACAAAAAGGTAAAACGAGTCTAAAAAATGTTTGTTACCTGCCATGGGAAGATCTGAAGATTCCACTTGGTTTTCTGCGTTGCCCTGATGCACACAGAACCCAGGGCTCCACACGCACACTTCTCTTCATTTATGGTGACAACAGAAGAAAAGTCAGTGCCTTCCGAACTGAACGTCAGGTTTTATCTGCTGGAATGGTGCTAACTACTTGCACCTGATTTCTTTCTGTTTTAAAGACTTTTGTTTATTTTTAGAGAGAAGGGTAGGGAGGGAGAGAAACATCAGTATGCGGTTGCCTCTCATGCGCCCCCTACTGGGGACCTGGCCTGCAACCCAGGCATGTTGCCCCAACTGGAAATTGAACTGGCCACCTTTTGGTTTGTAGGCCAGCGCTCAATCCGCTGAGCCACACCAGCCAGGGCTTGAACCTGATTTCTTAATGCCCATTATTTTGAGCTAACTCATGAACACAGAGTGAAATTAAATCATCTGCTCTTGGTCCTGTGGGTTCGCTGAGATACTGCTGTGTCCCGGGCAAGCTCCAGCGTGGAGGCAAGGAGGGCTGGCGAGGCATGGTGACTCCTCCTTTCCTGGAGAAGTGGCTTTTCAAACGTTATCGTAGGAGAAGGAGCCGGGTGTGGGTGTGGCTGGGAGGAAGGAGAGAGCCCACCTTTTCCCATTCTCGCTGATTGCGGACTCACCGTGTGGGATGCATGACTTGTGGTCGGGGCCCAGTTTATACCCCTCTGCACAGCTGCACGTGTAGGAGTTCTCTCCCGGGTGGCAGAAGTGCTGACATCCATCGGTCCTCAATGGGTGGCATTCATTTTTAGCTGAAAAACAAAAGCAAAAGGGGAAAACCAGGAGTGCTGACGTGGAAATTGTTGCTTTTAAATTTCCTTGTGCCTTGGGGTTCTGGCTTTTTTCAGTCCAAATGTTCTCATTCTTTTCAGACTTTTGGTTCCTGGTGTGATCGTTCCTCACACTTCCACATTCGGGAATGAGCAGGGAGAAAGCAAAGGTTCAGTGAGTGACAACCTTGTATTTATGCTCAGAAAAGGTCACTTGGTCGTGGAAGTATATGCATATGTATTGCAAGGCATCGGTCCATTTCCCTAACTGTTTGTGCTCACTTGTGGTCATCTTCCACTTCCTGCTGCAGTCGAGGTGGGGATGTGGGAGGGAGGGTTCTGTGCGACCCCACATGGGTGGTTGAACAGCCAGGATGGGGGAAGGGATACATGTGCAGGGAAGGTCAAAACCTTGCTTTAGCACGTGTCCGGTTTGGGACGTCACAAAACGTTATGTGAGGCTCTCAAGGTGGCAGTTAAGAGTGAAAGCTGGACTTCGAGGAGAGGTCTGGCTGGAAATATTCCCCCCCCCCACCAAAATCGACTCTGTAGTGACCAAAAAGCATTGAAAGGATTAAGTGAATTTATTTCTATGATTAATAATTACTGATAGGAAATTGGTTTCTCCCCATCCCACAAGTAAATTTTGCATATCATTTATTTGTATTTAAGGGGCATTGGTTCCCATCCTGCCTCTGAGCTGGACTGTATGACCCCCCTCATGGACTGGCCCTCAGAGCTCCTCTCCCCTGCCTGGGATGGGGCCGGTGTCAGGAATTCTCAAGGGTAGATTGTAAATGGCGTAGGTGGGGGTGGTTTGGGAGGACAAGCAGGGGCCTCTAGTCCATGGGAACTGTAGGTAGATGTGTTCGGAAGGTAGGAGGGCCAGTCAAAGGATGATTTCCAGTGGGCAGAGAACTGGGCTCCCACGGGCACCCTCTGCTCAATCCTGGGAGCCCATCACTATGTGGTGGGGGGGACCAGTGCAGGTGGGGGCTCACCAAAGGCGCAGTCCCTGCCCTCGTAGCCTGAGGAGCAAGTGCAGGTGTAGCTGCGGATGTCGTCATGGCACGATCCGTTGTTGAGACAGGGCTGGGAGAGGCAGGGGGAGCCACCTGCCAAGAGCACTGTGAGAAGCTTGTGCAGGTGGCATCACCTGGGTTCTCCTGACGCCCCCTGGGCCTGCTGCCCAGGACACCAGGAGGCTGGATCAGACTGCCAGGCGCACCTCACATGTCCCTAGGGGCCCACCAGTCCACGTGTGCTCACGATGCTTGTCTCAGTTCCCTTCCGTAGCCTCCCTCTTTCTTTGCTGAGCAACCTCCGTGACCGTGACTGTGTCTGGCTACCGCAGCTCTTGGCCAAATCCCCCTCTCCCACCCCTTCAGCCCCAGTCTCTGGGAGCTCCTCCCACAGGGGTGCCCAGTTTACCCTCAGATTAACCAGCTTCTGATCTGTTAGCCAGAGGCCCCAGGGAGCCTGGGAGGCCACAGGAATGAGAGGGGCTGCTCAGCATGGGGGACCCCTGGTCTCTGCCACCCCAGCCCACGAGGGAGCTTCTCCCGGACCCTGGCAGGACCTTCGGAACTTTCCCACCCTCGTGCTTGTCCTCAGGGACTGTCCAGGTACTGAGGGTTTGAAATGTGGAATGCCTTACCTTATCTCAAGGAAAAAGAAGAGGAAATCATCCTTGCAAGAGTTGAGGAAAACCACTTACCCATATACTTTTTCCAAAAGTCATCCTGTAAAACAAAAGGTGTTGCAAATAGATTGTTTTTTAATATTTTCTCCTGTGGATTGGCTTAAAGATATGAAAATGTTGATTTTATCCCCTTTAAAGGAAAATACTGGTTGAAACAAAGTGTAAAATTCTTTACTAAATACCCTATTTGATATATATATTATATATATAATATATATATATATGAAACATCCTATTTCATGTGTATTTACTGTAACTTATTTAAAGAAGGAGAAATAATAGCCTATGACGTGGTACAAAGGCCATGGCCACGGCCTCCCAAGGCCGCCTTTCCTGCCCCCGGGCAGTCTTCATTGGTGTCCTTGCTCTACAGGGTGCACTTTTTTATAAGCCAATTAAGCAGCAATTAAAAAATTAAAAGTGTGTATGTGTGTGTGGGAGGTTAGCTTGGGTGGAGGTGTCTAAACTTAGGAAAATTACTCAGAACTAAGGCCTAGAACGTAAACAAGTGATTGTATCTCCCTAATCACACTTGGACTTGTTATAGCCTGAGTGATGTCACAAGTGCAGATGAAGCAGTTCTCCAGCTGGACCTAGAGGGCATCATGCCACGTGGTAGACAGACAAAGACAAATACTGTGTGATTTCACTTATACGTGGGATCTAAAGAAAAATACAGGAACAAACAGAACAGAAACCGATTCCCAGATACAGAGAACAGACTGATGGCTGCCCGGTGGCAGGGGGTCGGGGGTGGGTGAGAAAGGGGAAGGGACTGAGGAGTACAAATCGATGGTCACGGGGCGGTCATGAGGGTGTGAAGTCCAGCGCAGGGACTACAGTCAGTAACACTGTAGTAACTCTGTGTGGGGTCAGGTGGGTGCTACAGTGATCAGGGGACCACTTCGCAAATTATACGGACAGCTAACTACTACATTGTACACCCAAACTAATATAAAATAATATTCAATGTCAACAGTAATTGAAAAATAAAAATCCCCCACAAATTTTCTTTTACCAGAAAGTTTGAGTTTCTGCTAGTTTTACTAAAGATGATCTATCTCAGAAGTGTTCTCTCATGTATGAGCATGTAAGAAATGACTTTAGACTATTTTAAAAATACTCCCTGACCGGTGTGGCTCAGTGGGTTGGAGCATTGTCTTGTGCACTGGAAGGTTGCGAGTTTGATGCCCAGTCAGCGCACATACTCAGGTTTCGGGATGGGTCCCCGGTCAGAAGCAACCAGTCAATGTTTCTCTGTCTGTCTGTCTGTCTGTCTCTCAATCCTGCTCCCTGCTCCCCTTTTCTCTCTTTAAGAGCAAGGACAAAATGTCCTTGGGTGAGGATAAAACATAAAAATATTTTTTAAATATACTAGAGAAACAGGTGGATAATTCATTCAGAATAACTTTAAATATTGTTACTTTTATATGTAGAACTAGGAAACCTTTATTAAGTATTTTACTCTTCTGAAATACTTACAGATATTCAGCCTGTCAGGTTTGACTTACTTCTCTATCTCCTGACACGCTTATGAATAAGTACGAACAGTTTGCCTGTATTGTTTACAGTATACATGCAGTCACTTTTTATTCAAATTATAGATTGTGAGAGATTTTCTTATTATGTAGCAATGTAGAGAGGATTTTTGCTTCTTAAAAATTTGTTGACATATTGACACAATTAAGTCTCTTAAAAATATCAAATTGTCAGAGTCATGACAAGCTGAGTGATATTGGTGATGAGTAAATTTAATTAATGAGCTAATTTGCTTAATCAGAAGGAGTTTAGGGTGCAGAACTGAGATAATATCCAAGACGTTTACTTAACTACATGCGGAAAATCATTTTACTTGTCTATGTTTCCTCATCTGTAAAATTAGGATTAAGTCAGCCTCACAAGTAACGAAATGAGTCGTAAATGTGGCTTTGTCTCTTTGAGACACCGTGCCCTCAAAGGCAGTAGAAGTCGGAATGATCAGAAAGCATGTGAGTTCATGGCCAGGGTACGTACAGTGATCACATCATCTTCAAACACTTCTCTTGCTTCTTCATAGCCACAAATCTCTTCGTAACATTCTTTTTCCAAATTTCCCTGAAAGAGCTCTTCCAAAAGGTAGGAGCCAGCACGCTTCCATCTTACCAGAACTTTGTTTGCTTTTGAGGGGGAAAGAAAGACTGTAGAGCAAGATAAGAATGTAGACACTGTCAGCATGGATGGGCTTCCTTGAGATGTGCGACGCCCGCTTCCTGGCGGTCAGAGTGCATGGTGCTGTGATGGCCTGACGTCTACCTGTGGCCTGGCCATCACTTTTTCTGTCCCCACCAGACCAGGCTCAACCTCTCTCATGCCTGATTCTTTCTGGGCATCTCTTCTGGGAGGACCCCAAGGGACATCATTTCCAACACTTTTGTTGTGAATGATAAAGAGATCAGGAGGGCTCTTTGGGAGCTGAGTTAAGACCTGTTGGTCACTTGGGGCCTCCTCTATCCTTGGAAAAGCACCCCCAACCAAACCCACACTGTCCAGGAGGACACAAGCAGCAGACACCAACCTGAGGGCTCCACGGGGTGGAGGACCAGGACGACCAGGAGGAGCAGGAGCAGCTGGACGCAGCCCGCCATTCTGACTGCAGCCCAGGGACAGGTCTGAAAACACAGGGGCCGAAGTCCACCCTGGGCCGTCTCACAGCGCAGCAGCTGCTTCAAACGACCGCCAGCCCCAAACTGTGGTGCTGGCAGGAGACAGAAGCCGAAAGTGAGAAAAGTGTTTCCTGCCAGGAGCACATTTCGCATGGAATTTTATTGCATAAATTTACCGTTCTAAATATATGCTTTGGTTTTACATTTTTCTGTTTAAGACAAAGATGGAAAAGGAAAGGCAGAGAAATGAAGAGCCAAAGCAAAGGGGGCCTTGGGGAGGCATTTAGGACAGAGAACTGGGTACACTTCTTGAGGGCGAGGCCAGGTGGTCCTGTCCGAGGACATAGGGTGATGGACCAGAGTGCCATCCGTCCTCACACTCCTGCGCAGCCTGCGTGACCAGCGTGGGCCGGCTTCCTCCCCTAGCAGCCTGGGGATGCAGCAGCAAGCCAGACCTCGGCCTGGAGCCTACCTTTGTGGGGGAGGGCGAGCAATACTGTCACATTTCACTCTCAGGAAGAGCTGATTAGCATGTACTGGGCAATACGGGCGGGCGCTATTTCAAACAAGCTGGTCACAGACGCTCCCTTTGGGGGAGAAATCTGAAGGCACTGAGCCTTGCGAGCCTTACCGGATGAGGGGGTCGGGGGCGGGGGGTGGGGGGAGGCAAGGCCCTGGGTACGGGCTGCTGCTGCCTGGAGCACAGCAAGGAGGTCAGTGTGGGGAGGGCGTCCACAGGAGGGCAGCAGAGGACCTGAGATCGCAGAGAGAACTGGCACTTAGGTGGGGTGGGCCAGGGGTCAGCAAGCTTCTCTGTTAGCGGCTAGAGAGGCAACCACAGCATTGGGCCTCGCCTGGTTCACCGTGAGGCCCGCCCAGCCAGGCTTCCTGGAACGCTAAGTGCCACATGGAAGAGTGGACCTGGAGGACGTTTTGTAGGAGCCAAGTGTGTCTTTGAACCGAGAATCAACCTCAGCACCATGAGGTGATTAAACACCCTGAGGGGTGGACACTCGCACACCCCACCCTCGACTCGCTCCCGGCCACGCACTCGCCTGTGGACCAGCATGAAGGATCCACCGCCTCTGCCTGTCTGTCTCTCTGCTTCCCCTCTCCCTTCACCCCACGTACGGGGGACCCCCTTCCGTTACAGGGCACGCGATGAGATCCTCCTGCGGTGTCCTCTCTCACTGCCTCTTGTTTCTGCCCCCAATCAATTAACGAGTTTCCCAGATGCTTTGGGGCTTTGGGCACTGACATTTGTGGAGTGTCTGGGCCTTCGTCAGCTGGGTTTGTCCAACTGACCTCTCACAGACTCAGGGTGCTCCCTGCATCAGGGACGTGTGACCTCCCACTGCACTGTGTCAGGAAAGGCTCACGGGGCAGCCCATCTGGTCACTTGGATAAACCTGGGCAGCAGATCTGGCCACTTTAAAGCTGCCCTGTCCTGTTTGTAATTAACAGTCACTTCTGGGGGATGCTCTGAGACCATAAACTCTTGTTTCTCAATGGCTTTTTCCACCAGGGTTTTGGTGTGCCTTGATGGCTTGCCTCAGTCAATCAGCGAGTGATTCCTGTGGGGGCTATAGCCGCGGGGGTCCTGCTATAATCAGAATGTAAACGCTTCAGTTCCCGTTTAGGTGGCTCCACCCCAGTGGGGATGGGGAGCAGCACCCCACCACCACCACCATGGTCCCCTGGCTCATCTGCCAGGAGGCCTCGGTCTCTGCTCCGCACCTGCAGCGGGGCCTCAGGACCGGACAGACCGGCAGTCAGCCCGCAGGCCCTGCTCCTGGAAGGCCGCCTGCGTGCTTGTGAACCTACTACCGCTGCTGGTTTTGCAGCAGCAGCACTGGGCCCGGCCCCTACGTAGCTGGCTCACACTCTCCTCTGCTTCCTAACTCACACTCAGCTGGGCCTCCCTGTCCCTTCAAACCTCACAGCATTGTCCAGAGCACCCTCCACGTTTCGAGGTGTGTGCTCCCACGGTGTCCCCTTCATTCTCCTACCCTCAGGAACTGAGTGTGCGTGTGGAGGGTGGCAGTGCCCAGGGAGAAGATGGCTTTATTGTGGTGCTGTAACCTGTCCTGTACCCTGAGAAGAAATCCACCAAACCCTTGTTTTGTCCTCCTCGTTGGCTCCTCACCCTTGGCTTCCTGCTGGTCTCTGTGCCCGTAGATGACTTCCCTGAGGAAGCTCTGGTGGCAGTGGGCAGGTAATGTCCCTCTGCACACAAGCCTTGGCCCATGTTTAGGGTTAACGTGTAGAGGAGGAGGCTTCATTAGCTCCGTTCTCCCATGCAGACAGAGATCCTCAGAGATGGAGTTGCGCTGTCCCAGGGCACCCAGGAATGGGCAGGCGGGGGGCAGCTCATCTGTGAGTTCCAGGCCAGGGCCCTCCCCAAAGCACCCACCGCATCGCTTCCCCTTATTTCCTCCAGAACCTCACGGAGTGAGTCTGTTTCTGGACGGGGGAGGTGAGCAGACCCATGAAGGTGGCGGAGGCTCCTCCCACGCTTCCCTCTGTCTTGCCTCAGTCTCCCTTCTTCTCTGATACATGCATGAGCTCCATCGCCAATGATAGTGGCCAACAGTGAGAAATCAAGTAGTAAGAGCAAAGGCAGGTTTTACTTGTGAAACTCTTCTCTTCCCTGGTGTCCTCTCTGGACTCCAAACAACCTCTAACCGCCAGAGACAGGAACCCAAGTTTGGGGTTTGCCTGGGGACAGAGACCGGTCAGCGGCACAGAAAACTCTCCACCTGACAATGCGACGGTCCCCTGCCACCAGAGGCCCGTCCCGAGGGAGGGAGAAGCCGGGGGCAATCGGAGAAACGTCCCCCTCAGCTTTTCCTGCTCCCCTCAGACTGTTTCTGGGAAACTGCATGTGTGTCAATATTGATTTTTCTAACTGTGCAATGTCTTTTGTTTATAAAACACTCCAACCTTGCAATAGCTCCTGTTTATAAAAGGGAAAAAAAGCTGCTGACATTGTTGGGAGTTTTTGTAGTGGGACTTTGAAACTTTGCTTAGCAAAGTTGCGCAAAATGCAAACCGAATAGGACATTTGGAACTCACTGGGCTGGTCTGAGGTGACCTTTTCCATTTTCTAAAATGTTTGGTTTTCATGACCATTTCCATTGAGGGCCTGGAGCCGGTGTGGACAGAGCTGGGATGGGAAAGGACTTGGCATTTAGACGTGACCCAGTCCAAGAGGGGGGAGCCCTCCCACAGCCCCCAGCAATACTCGCCACACATGCCAGGGTCACTCGAGAGGAGCTGTAGAAACCAAGGGGGCCCATGCCCACCCCACGGACTCTGATTTAAGTGCTCGGGGCTGTGGCCTGCATGAAGGACTTCAGTGTCTCCCAGTCTGGGGGCAGTTGGTACCTAGTGGGCATGTCAGTTGCTCAGGAGACTGTACCAGAGTGGACCCAGGCCCAGGCACATTTTAAAACAGTTGATTCTAAGGCGAAGGCAGATGTTAAAATGTCCCCACCAAAGAGAAGCTCTCTGGGCCTCCCCTTCCCAGGGAGTCTGCCTTTCTCATGGAAGCCCTGGAGGACACATGTCCACCCTTGTCTCATCCCGGAAGGCATAGGGAAGCTACGCTGGCCCGTGTGGGGAACGGCCCCGCCCCCCGCCCCGCCCCAGAGCGAGGCTGCCCAGGCGGGGTCTGGCCCTGACCCTCGCTGTGCCTTCTCTCCGCGCTCCCAGAACCTTGGCCATTTATTCTCAAGTATGCATGTGGCCGGCCAAGACGGCATTGTAGGTCAGTCAGAAACAGAAAAATGTGCTGTGAATGGACATGGCCCCCTCCTGGTTTTGAGAAGAGGAGTCACCCCAGGGAGCATAAACCCCTGTCTTATAAAATGGGACAGTCCCAACAGGAATCTTCTGACCTGGTGGGGGGAAGGCAGGGTCCAGTTTCCAAATGAAAATTTCATTTCCCACTTCGAGAGAGCAAGAGCAAAATCAGGATAAGGAACCAACAGATCTAATCATCACAGAAAGGAAACTTATTCCAGAATTCAGCCTGCTCAGCGTGGCAAGTGTTAAGACAAAACAGGGCACCAGTGGCTGCCAGTGGGCCTTTTAATGGGTTCACTGTAGTACGACGGGGGACGACGTAGGGTCCTCCTGCTCACTGTTGGCCCTGACCTTGGCTCTCATGGACCTATTGATCCACCTGAGGAAGTTGGTAACTTTGGTGTAGATCCCGAACTTTCCTTTCTGTGCACATCCTTCTCCCCAGCTCACGATGCCGGTGACAAAGTAGGTGTCCTTGAACCGGGTGACGTGAGGACCCCCACTGTCCCCCTGACAGGCATCCTCAGGCTTCGAGTCGTAGCCAGCACAGAACATGTTTTGGGTGATGGAGAATTTGGTGGACAGCTTGCACGTGTTCCTGTCCACGTAGGGCACCTCCAGCATCTTGAGGGTGGTGGACGCACGGCCCTTCTCGTGGGTGCGCCCGAAGCCGCTCACGATGCCTGACTTCTGCGTCATGAGCGCAGACTCCGCCCAGTCCTTCTCGGGCAGGCAGGCGGGGGCCACGTTTCTGCGGAACCTGATGGGCATCTTCAGCTTGAGGATGGCAATGTCGCAGTCGTAGGTCTCCTTGTCGAACCGGTTGTGCTTTATGATCACCTCCACCTCGTGCACCATCTCGTTGCCGTCCTCTTGTTCCGTGTTCCGGTCACCTGGAGCGAGGTGAGAGCGCACCGTGTCGGCTCAGCCTGGGCCGAGCACGCCCACGGGGTTGCTTTCTAAAGTGGCGATTATTTTTTTTTCTGATTAAAAAATGATGTATGGTCACTAGAAAATTCGAAACACATAGGAAATCATACAGAAGTGAATAAAAGTGGCCTTCAGTCTCATGACCTAGGGGCAACTCTTCGTCATATTTTCCTACGTATGTTCAGTGCCTCAGAGACTTTAGGTTCATTCATTGGCAGACAGATGTTTCCCGAGTGGGTGTCATGTGCCAGGGACATGGGCCAGCTGAAGGCCTTATGCTCTCGAACCCCGTGGTCTAGAGGGCCACCACCAGCCACAGGGGCAACCGGGCACT